CCCACAATTCAGGAGCAGCGGCTCTGCCTCCGGGCGCCCAGGGCGGCTGTGCTGGAGCGGCATGAAAGGGGTTCTTGTGCCGAAAGAGCGGGGGCTTCAGCTCCCAGGGAGGGAGCGCTCTGGGGGGTTCTGACTGCAGGACAAAAGCCACTTGCAGTCTAAGCATCACAGTGGGGCTGTGGGGTCTGCAGACACACTCGGGGCCACGATCTGAGCTGTGACGTCACTGGATTCCATCAATGAGTGAGTTTGTTTGTCAGGGCTTTTGAGTCTGCAAGTCACAGAGAACTTCAATTCACACTGGCTTGGGCAGAAGGCGACATAGAGACCCGGGTTTGCTCTGGCGACGGAGGACAGCGTGGGGAGCCTTCTCGGGCGCTGCTGCGGCATCTTCTGGAGTTCGTCCTCGCGTCTTGCTTCTGTTTCCTTCTGTGCTGCCGCCGCCGCCGCAGGTAGAGTCTGCAGGTCTCCATGCCCCTGGAAGGTCCAGCCTTAATATGTTTGCAAACCCGGAGAAGGAAACTCTGTTCTCAGGTGGCTCAAGCAGAAGCCCCAGGTCTGACTCACTGCGGCGAAAGGATCCCGTGAGAGACCCTCGCCCTCCCCTGTGCCCAGGTGACTGTGGTGCTGGCCGGACAGGGCACGCTGACCCGTCCCACTCTGGCCGAAGAGCAGGTGGCTGAGAACGGACGAGGATTTGGTTCTCTGGTGGGAGATTAGCTCAGTGTCTGTTGTCCGAAGAAAGAGAATGGATACTGGGTGGCAAACCTTTATTTATAGCCACAGCCATCTACACGCAGTCACCTGCATGCGGCCCCCATTGAAACTGGGACGGCCGCCCCAAGGTCCGTGGAAGGTTCCTTCCAGGACACGACCTGCCCCGCCAAGACCCGGGGTGTGGACGCGAGAGTCCCTCCCACAGAGTGTAGTAGTGCAGTGTGTGCGGGTCACTCACACCCTCCCTCGCCCTTGAAGTACCCCTAGGTCCCTACAATACCGACGACAGTGTCCACCCCACGTGAGGAGCTGTCACTGCGCACTGTCCGGGGAACACTGACGGGGAGCAAGGGCTGCAGGCACACCGCGGCGGCCGACGACGTGCCCGGCCTGACTCCAGAGCCCACGGCAGCGACCACGTCCACGTTCTTCCCGAGTATTTTCCATCCGGGGCCGGTGGGCTCCGCGTGGGTGCAGAGCCCTTGGGTGCAGAGGGCCAGCTGTACGCGTGTGAACCAGAAAACCTCGAATGAGCGAATGGGAACAACATCGCTGGGGCAGAAGGAAGCAGCGGGACCCGGATGCGAGTCCAGACGGCGGCCTTGGGAGGCCTGGGGAACGCCCAGACGGCGTGGCTCCCGCCTGGGGCCCGGAGTGCCCTTGGGCTGCCCGGTCCTCGGCTTGGCCGCGGGCCCTCGAGGCTGTGTGTTTCGTCACTAAGTCTCTGGATGAAACCAACGTCGGCTGGCAGTTTAACTCACACTGGAAGGTCCAACGAAGATCAGCAAAACAAGGGCCAAATGGAATGGCTGGATGTAAAGAATAAAATAAGGGCTGTTACGAGGTAGCTGAGGCCAGCTCTGCAAGTGTCCGACGGGGAAGCCACGCTCTGGGGACCGAGCCACCTGTCTCTGACCAGCGGCGGGGGCCCGGTGCTGAGTCCCTCGGTGGAACCCTGCTGCCTGGCCCTGGGAGACAGCTGGAGAGGGGGGGTGACTGGGATGGAGAAGGCACAGGCAGAGCAATAGAACGGGAACTGCTCCGGGCCCAAGACAGCCGAGACATTCCAGGACGCCTTATGCTTGGTGCTGGAAGAAAGGAGTTTCTCCTTAGCTGGAGAGAGACCAAGTGCGCACGCTCTTGGGTGAGAGCAGGGAGAGCAAGCCCCTGGGGGACCCTGGAGAGGGCGGGAGAGGGGGATAGAGAGCTCAGTGAGAGCTCAGTGCCTTTGCAGGACCTCCGTCCGCCCGCGATGAGCAGGCCTGGAGGGGGCGGGGCGGGAGATGGCCACAGAGGCGGGAGCGGAGGAAGCACGCGGTGCCCTGTGGTTTGTGTCTCTTCTCTGAATCGTCTGATGGGCACTTGCCGTGGCCCGGCTGCAGGCTGCGCGGGCACAGGAGGGGAAGGCTGCGTGTCCAGGAGTGACTTCAGGCAAGGGGGCTGGGGCACAGAAGACGGGAGAGAGAGGGAATTAAGAGAGGGAATTAAGTGTGTGCCGAGCTGTCTTACAAACGCTGTGGAGTATGGGCTTGTAGGGACGGGGGGGCTGGATCTGAAGCTGGAACGGAGCTGCCTCTGCCCAGCGGCAGCCTCACACGCAGCAGAGCCGGGCCCCGCAGGAGCCAGGCCTGCCCTGAGTACATGCACACAGGCCGCCCAGGCACCGAAGGCAGTTTCTTCTCCCGTTAGGTTGAGCTTCTGATGCACCTTCTGCACGAGCCACCACAGTCCTGCTGAGCCTTGACTGCAGGTGGGAATGGCTGTGACTTCCTCGGCCCCCACAAGACCGAGGTTTCACGGCTCTTCTTTTTCCCTGGACCGAGTTCGGAAGTCAAGTCGAAGGCGGCTTTCCCAAAGGTGGGAACTAAGCGAGAGCAATGCCATCCATGCCTCGGGCCCCAGTGACCCGCAGTCTGTGGGCACAGCGGGGGCTCTGCGTCTCCCGCCAATACCACCGCAGAGGGCACCTGGGACGCAGGGCCCCGGAAGGCCCCCCTTCCCCGGGAGCTCCCCTGCCTGGCCATTGCCTGTACAGGCCGCGCCCCTCCCCGGCCCCCAGTCCTCGGCGTCCGCAGGCAGAAGAGGCACAGGTGCTCCTTGCCTCCTCGCATCTGCTTTCGAGGGTCCACGAGGCCCCGTTTCTCGTTTCAGTCTGCTACCCTCATTCCGCATCTCATTTCAGCCTCCTCTCTGCTCGCACGCCAGCCACACACGCGCCCTCTGCCCGCGGCCTCGTGCCCTGCCTCCAGCGGCAGACCCACGGACCCCCGCGTGCCTTCCCTCCCGCCGCCCTCCAACCCCATCTCCCATGTGGCTCCCACCCCAGCGCGTCCGGTCTCAGGCCTCCCTCCAAGGATAACCTGCCCCTCCTCCTCCTTCCGATCTGGGGCACCCTCCACCGGGGGACCCTCCCTCCTTCACGCCAGTGTGCACGTGGTGTCCCCGTTCCTTGGGGAACACAGGCTGGGCCCTGCCGTAGGTGGGGCTGGTGCAGGCACGTGGACACCGTGAAGTCCCAGGAACCGACCTCCAGGGTGCACAGCCTGCCTGTCTGGTCACCCTGACCCCCCCACCCCCCGCTGCCCCGAGTCCTTAGGAGTGAAGTCATGCGGGCTCTGGAGAACGGGGAAGCTGGGGAGACAGACCGGTGTCCGACACAGCAGGGTCAGTGGGGCCTGTCCGTGGCCTTGGGGCGGGGCGGGGGGGACAGGAAGAAAGAGCGAGGACTGCAGAGGCCGAGGGATGCAAACCGCACGGAAACCCTGCACCCAGCTCTGGGGCTCTCTCCCCCGCTCTGCCTCTCTGTCTCAGGTCTGTGTGACGCATATGGGGGAGTGGGGCAGCTTCTCCCCAGCTTCCTGTGGCCTCCCTGTCCTCTCCAGCACCTCCCGGAAATCTGGTTTGCCCGTTATGAGGTGGGTGGGGGAGAGGGATTGGTCTCAACGCACCCCCACAGCTGGAGGCCTGGGCCTGTGGTATACGATCCCCTTGTTGTCATGCGTCTGAGCATCCCCAGTGCTTCCAGGACGGCGGCGGCAGGAACCAGGGCCCCGGGCACAGATATCCCCACGAAAATGCCACTTAGGGGTTGGCTCGAACAGCCACTTCTCTTCCCTTTGTCCGAGAAAAGGAGCACGTTTTCGACCAAGATCAAAGAGTCAAACCCGACCTGAACACACAGGCCTCTGCGCACGGCCCGGCACGGGAACAAAGTTAGTCCCTGACGCTCCCGTTTGCGGCGGAAGGGACAGCGAGCAGCCGGGGGAGGCCGGAGGGGCCAGGAGAGGCGCACGGATCTCCCGGAAGGACGCCGCGCGGATCTTGTATGAGTGTCTTCCTCTCCCACGTCCGTCCCTCCGGGTTCGTGAAGGTAAAGAGGAGAAAGCTCCCCGCTGTCGGCTCAGCTGGCCCGGCCTTCGAATTCCAAACCCGGCACACTGTGGTTCGGTTTTCCTGCGGTGGCAAAACCAAGCTGTCCACAGGGCGGAGAGCCGGAGAGGCCCGATTAAGAAGAAAAAAAAAATTAGAGGGAAAAAAAAAATAAAAGAAAGGCGGGGCGGGGAGCGCTGAGGAAAGGTCCAGTGGAAAGTGAACGAGTGACAGGGAAGGGGCGAGAATGGCAGCCGTGGTCGGGCTGGCGGCCGGCCGCGGAGTGGGGGGCGCGGCCGCGCGCGAGCGTGACAGGTAGGTTGTGCCTCCAGCAAGGGAGCAGGTGGGTGGGAGCTCTCCCGAATTCCAGGCAGCGCGGCCTCAGCGGCGGAGCGAGCGGGGCGCGCGCCGGGCGGGAGGCGGCTGCAGCAGGCGAGACGGGCGCGCAGTCTCCCAGGCCGGCCTCAACGCTACTCGCCCGCCGCGCTCCGGGCGTCTCCGCTGCCGCGAGCGCGCCGCCGCCGCCGCCGGGCTTCCCCGCTGCCTGGTCCGGAGAGCTCCCCGCACCTGCCGGAGGGGAGTAACGAAGTCAAGCGGCGGCTGCCCCAGGGCGCGCTTCGTCGCGGAGACGCGGGGACGAGACCCCGGGATGAGCCGCGGAGGGCGGCGCGGGCTCTGACGCTGGTTGGGCAGCCGCTGCTGGCCGCCGGCAGCGCGACGAGCAAGCCCGCGGAGACGCCCTAGCCCGGTGCACGCGCCGGGCGGAGCGCGCAGGTGGGGCTGCGCCCTCCGTGGTGCGCCCCGCGCGGGTCCCCAGCTGCCGGGAGGATGGGTGCCAGCGCCCCGGGGCCGCGCGCTCCGCTGCTCCCTCCGCGTCCGCCGCGAGCCCGGAGTCCGGTCGGCGCCCTGCGATCATGTACGTAGGCTGGGCGCCAGCCCCAGGGAGGAGGGTGCACGCGGGGTGTCCACTCCCAGGGCTCCGTTTAGGCTCCGTGCAGCTCCGGGGAAGCTTCCCCCTCCCCAAGTTGGTAAATATGGGTGATTCGCCCAGGGCTGAGGTCCACCGGGCCTGGCCTGGGAATGAGCGGAGGACGCAGATGACCGGAACCCTGCTGGAGACCCGGTGAGGGGGAGGGAGACACCGGAGCTCGCTGAATTTGGGGGGTGGGGTTGGGAGGGGAGGTACAGGGTGGCTGGGTTGCCTGCACCCTGAGGTATCTTGGGTTCTCTGGACCCCTTGGGCTGCAGAAACTTTGGGATCTGGAAAGGCTCTGGGGACAGGGGTAGTGAGTGGGGCTCGCCCCCGCCCTGCTTCCCCACCCCCAGCCTCCCCAACCGCAAACTGTAGCGCCCTGACCCCCGTCCTGGGTACAAAGCAATTGGGAGACGGAGCACTGCGGCCCGCGAGGAGCCTCTCCTCCCGCCCCAGTCGCCGAGCAGCCGGCGGGGCGCTGTGGCCAGTGGAGAACCAAGTCTTTGGAATCCCCAGCACCCTCCGGGGAAGGGGGCCTGGGAGGGGATCGGAAAGCACTTAAAAAGTTGTTGGAAATGACTCAGGGGGTCCTAGCAGCTTTGTTTACCCCCCTCCCCCGTCCCTGGGGTGGAGTGGGGGGTCCTGCCCAGCTCCCAGCACGGTCGTGCGTGTCCAGCTCCACGGCGGCATTCTCCACTTGGTAACTTTTGGGGATTGTGGCCAGAACCTATGGAGGGGCAACCTGGGCGCCTGAGTTATGTGGTTCTACCCGAGATCGTGGGTGGGGGCGGGGGGGGTGGGATGCGGCCCCCGCTCGCGGCGTCCCGCGGCTCCGCCACCCGCCCCAGGCCGTCTCCACCGCCCCTCACGACTACCGGAGAGACACTGCGGCGGGCGTTTTCCTGGAACTTCGCTTCCATGCCCGTCTCCACGAGTCGGGGACGTTTAAGAAGCCCGGCTGGGCGCGGACACCGGGCTTGCGGCCCCCGCGGGGCATGCGGCCGGGGCCCGCACGGTCCCGCTCGTTCCTTAGGGCGCTGCGGGAGCTGGGCGGCGCGGGCCGGGCGGGGGCCGGGGCGCGCGCGGGCCGCGGGGCTCAGCTGTGCTGCTGTTCTCTCCACAGGGACGGCGGCTCCCGACTGGCGGCGGCGCGCCCCCGGGCCGTGAATGCGACTCGCCCCTCGGCCGCGCTGCCCGCCCGCCCGCCCGCCGGGACGCGGTAGGGACGCCCGGCTCCACTGCGATGGCAGTTGGCGCGCTGTCCAGTTCCCTCCTGGTCACCTGCTGCCTGATGGTGGCTCTGTGCAGTCCGAGCATCCCGCTGGAGAAGCTGGCCCAGGCGCCGGGGCAGCCGGGCCAGGAGAAGCGCGAGCACGCGTCTCGGGACAGCCCGGGGCGGGTGAGCGAGCTCGGGCGCCCGGCGAGGGACGAGGGCGGCGGTGGCCGGGACTGGAAGAGCAGGGGCGGCCGCGGGCTCGCCGGCCGGGAGGCGTGGAGCAAGCAGAAGCAGGCCTGGGCCGCCCAGGGCGCGGGCGCCAAGGCCGGGGACCTGCAGGTCCGGCCCCGCGGGGACACCCCGCAGGAGGAGCCGCCCGCCGCCGCCGCCGCCGCCCAGGACTCGGCGGGCCCGGACCCCGCGCCCGCGACGGAGCCGCCGGAGGAGTACGCGTACCCGGACTACCGCGGCAAGGGCTGCGTGGACGAGAGCGGCTTCGTGTACGCCATCGGGGAGAAGTTCGCGCCGGGCCCGTCGGCCTGCCCGTGCCTGTGCACCGAGGAGGGGCCGCTGTGCGCGCAGCCCGAGTGCCCGCGGCTGCACCCGCGCTGCGTCCGCGTGGACACCAGCCAGTGCTGTCCGCAGTGCAAGGAGAGGAGGAACCACTGCGAGTTCCGGGGCAAGACCTACCAGACTCTGGAGGAGTTCGTGGTAAGAGGCCCGCGCCCGGGCGACCTGGCACCCCGGGGGGTCGGGGGTTGAGGCCGAGGGGAGAGCCCTGTGCGCTCACCGGAGAGAAGAGGTGCTCTCGGCCCCTCAGGGGTGGGCGGCGCTGTGCCTGGTCCCCCTAACTCGGCCTCTCCATCTGGGCGTGGAGGTGATCTGAAGCAACCGGCCACTGGCCGCGATTGCTCCTTCTGCCTTCGGGGTGGAAGGGCTTCCTTGGAGGGGGCCGGCGGCTCCGAAGGGGCGGGCCCCACCGCCTCTCGGCGGCACTTCGGCGGGAGGGACCTGCTCCCGTTTGGAAGGGCGGCCTTTGGAAGGCCCGACCTCCTTTCAGACACAGGCCCACCGGCCCCGCCATTTGGGACATAGTCTTAAGTCAATAGCCAATCAAGGGAGATGAGTCACATAAATAAGCCATTTCCCTAGATTCTGTGTGGGGGTACCATGCAACTATTCTAGAAATTGGGAGCACGTGCTTGCTCGTGGGATGCCAAAACGGAGCGGTCAGCAGAAACAAGGGGCCAGTTCATGGGTGAAAGGACGGTCTATTCTCCGTGAGTAAGAGCACTGGCAGCGGCGCCCAGCTCCTGACCGCCTGCTGCGCGTGGAGGCGGCTCCGGGCGGCTACTGAAACCCGCGCTGACTTCCGTAAACCTCAGCGTGCGCTGCAGGTTATGATCGGGCATCTCCACTTTACGGGGAACGGGAAACTGGGACACAGAGTATTTAAGTAACGTGCCGACGGCCCTGCGGCGGTTCCGAGGTAGATTCGCGTGTCCCGCGGAGCAGCTCTACTCTAGGGCGCATGCGTTTACCCACCCCCCAGCCCTGCACTCTGCTGGAACCGGACCCCAGCGCAGCGGCTGGGGTGGCGGTGCGGCCCAACACGCATGCGCTGGCTCGCGGGCACTCAGAGGGGCCTGCTCTCCCCCCGAGGGCCTGGGAGACTCCCGAGTGCTGGTCATCCATTCCACCCCCACTCCCCCGCCCGCCAGGCGGGTTCCACCCGTGGTGTGCCTGAACTTGGCCTTGGCCCTGCCTGGCCCACTGACTTGGAATGCCAGAGATTTTCTGGGCTGCAGAGGCATCCTGGGACCGTGAGCAGGGAAGGCGGTGGGGGAGGATCCCGCTGGAGCCCCTCGGGGCCCAGCCGCTGAGTAGTGGGGACTCAGGGGGCCCCCAGGGTGTGAGCGCCTGCGCGGAATTTTAGGGTTAGGGCCCTGAGCGCCGAGGGAGCAGAGAGCCAGGAGGGCGGAGCGGCAGGTAATGCCCCAAGTGTAGACAGAGAACTCCGCGAGTTCGAGTCCGGAAACGCGAGTCTCCATTCTGGCGTTGCCACTAACCAGCTGCGTCCCCCCAGAGGGGGTGCTGTTTCCCGCCGGGTAGCTAAGGGGCCCGGCCCCCCCCGCCCCCCGGCCCCAGGCTCAGGGGAGCTGATGCCATCCGTACCCGTTGGCCCTCCCGGCTCGTGGCTTCGGCCCATGGAGAAACCAAGAAAACTTTGATGGGAAACTCGTGGGAACCAGGCCCCAGCCACGAGTGAGCCAGGGACCCTCGCCACGCTGCCTGACTCCTGGGGGTGGGGCAGGCGCCTCCCGGGGCGTTGGGTGCCGGCTGGAAGCCCAGAGGCAGGGGTGGCTGTGGGTGCCGGGGAGCCCAGAGCAGGGGTTTCCAGGGTGGGCCGGGACAGGGCTGTAGGCGCGGGCCCCACGGAACAGCTCTCTTGACACTGAGGTTCACAAGAAAATCGAAGTGTTTTAAGATCAAAGGCAAGTGGTTGGTTTTAATTATTCACGTGGATTGTTGCACCGCGTAGAGCTGCTGGTGAGGGAGGTGGGGATGTTATCGGCATTCTGATCTGAGCCGAACAAACGCATCGCAGAGCGGGCCTCTGTGCCCCTGAGACCCCAGCTGGAGGGAGCATCTCCAACTTCTGTTTAGTAATTCGCTGCCAGCCCGAGGCCACGGGGCTGCCTCTGGGTGTGGGGTGTGGGGAAGGGCCTTCTGGTTTGACTCCTGTTTCCGAAACCTGCCCAACGCGCAGGGTGAGAGTCCTGCCCTGGAGAGGCCGGGCGACAGCGGCAAGAGAGGCTGGGAAGGTCGCAGTCCTGGGAAGGATGAAAGCGCCGACAAACCGGTCCTTAGAGCGTTAACCGCATCCTTCATCTTCAAGTGACTCCTCATTCTCAGCGTTGGTCCCGGCCCCGTGGGGCTTGAGGGCATACCCGGGCGGGGAGGCCGGGCAGCAGCTATACCTTCCTCATTCCGCGGCCGCCCCCGCAGTTCACACGACCACGCGAGGATTCCGCTTCTGGTTGTACCGGGGAAATGTCCGGGCGTTTCCCTACTTCCACGTGGCTTTGTGTCAGTCCGTCAGTGTCGGTATTTTCGTCTTCTTCCTCGTCAAGACAGGCTGCTTCTTCGGGGCGTCAGAAGGATGGTGTAGGGACGGTCTAGGCACAGGGGTGTCCAGCCTGCCCCCCGCGGGCCGCATGCAGCCCAGGCTGGCTGTGACTGCCGCCCAGCACAAAATCGTAAATTTACTCAAAACACGATGAGATTTTTTTGTGCTGACGTGTCTCAATGGGTTTAATGTGTGGCCCAGGACAATTCCTTTTCTTTCAGTGTGGCCCGGAGACGCCTAAAGGCTGGACACCCTGGTGAGGTCAGCTGGGAGCCCAGGGGCCTGCGGGATGCAAACACCCCGCAGGGCAAGACCTGGGTGCAACCACCGTTCACACGCCTGCTCGGGCGGTCCCGGGCGTCAGAGGGAGGAACGGTAGCCGGTGGTTTGCGGGGTGCAGGGCACATGGAAAATGGAGAGGGGGCACATTCCCGGCCTGAAGCGCCGGCTGGGGTGCAGGCAGGTCCAGCGGGGCCACGGTGCCCCCGGCAAGGAAGGAGCGCACAGGGAGGCACACGGGTGCTTGGGCAGACCGTCATCTGTTCTCTGCTTCCCGGGGCAGGGGCCCTGGCGGACGTGGGGCGCTCACGGGGGGTCTGCAGGAGAAGCAGACAGAACCCCAGGTCCTGCCCTGTGCCCGGGAGCGTGCTTGGTCTCTGCCCTCCTGCGCTTCTCCTCCCTCGAGCATGCGTCTGCCGCTGCCCTCGCTGCCCAGCTTTCTCCGCGCTCGCACCTGCCTTCCCCCGTCCCTGGCCGGCCCTCGCCCCACTGAAACCCCCCTGTCATACCGCCTGGCCGAGCTCAGCCAGGCGGGAGCGAGAAGACCTCACTCGTGGCTTCAACAGAACATAATTCAGCTGCTAATCGTAATTACAATGACGTCCTCATCCATCCAGGATGTTTGTTTGCAGCTTCACTAGTTTATCTGAACGAGAACACAAGGACCAGGAGAACTGCCTCTCAGATGAGGCCGAGTGTCCTGTCCTCAGCTGGTACCTGCAGGCACCCGACTGGGAATAGGCAAGTCTGTCTGTTGCTTCTGTTGCCTGTGAATGCAATGATCCCGTTTGGAGCAACAAAGGAAGTGGCTCCTCTCCTGGGCATCCCGACGCCTTGGGGCGGGGGGGTAGGAGGTGGTGACCGCAGACATGGGGTCTGCATGCTTGTCTCCCTGTCCTGGAGAACCTCACGGCGTCCACGTGGCCTCCCGAGGTCAGACCGGTCAGGAGAACTGAGACCGCACGCTGCCGCCACCATTGGCTGGCTGATGCCTGTCCACTCCAGGCGTCCACACTGGCCACCACAGCCGGTCAGGAGCTCCGACAGGCACCTGTACAAGACTGTGAAGAAAAAGGGAAAGCAGGAATTGTGAGTTAGTGCTGCTTGCAAGACAGAGCGTGAGCGCCGTTGGCCTGGGCCCGGCGGAGAGAGGCGGTAGCAGGTGGGACGCTTTGGGACCCGCGAGCCCAGCAACCCTCCCCGAGGGCTTCCGCGTCGGGCCTGCCACTAACCCTGTTGCAAAATCGCATTTCTAGAAGTTCAATCATGGAAAAAAAAAACCTCACGTGAAATTTGGACTCAAAAGTCTGATCTAAACAGATCTCTACTGCAATTCTGGTGCAGGGCCTGCGGCGGGGGAGGCGTGGTTCCTCATGCTTGCAGAGGGACGGGGTTCAGGCTCTGTTGGCTGATGGCCCTTGAGATGATCAGCGCCGTGACGGCGGAGCTCGGCCGCGCCCGACGGATCCCGCCGGGTGAAGCTGATGCTGTTTTCAGCGTCAGTCCCGCGCGTGTGCTGCTGCGGGACCCTGAGCTCGCTCACTCCGAGCGGGAGTCGGAAAGTTCCGGACTTCGCAGGCGGTTTCTCCGGGCCTTTCCCACGGGTCCCCAGCTTGGTGGGGGGAACACAGCTCGCCTGACCCACGAGGCCATGCTCCGTGTGGCAAATACGGTGGAATCAGCCCCGTGAGTGTTCGGTCGCTCATAATGGGAGGAAGGGGACCAGTGTTCACTCCTCAGTGCCTGTGTGCTCTCCACATCTTTTGGGTGATGGACACAGCAGACCACGGAGGTGGCATTTTCTTTATTTTAAAGGAGAGAAAACTAAGGTTCAAATCAGTTAAGAAACTGGACTGGAGTCGCCGAGCTCCTCAACGGTGGAGCCGGCATGGGCGTCCTGGCCCGTTGGACCCAGAAATTGAGCACCTCCCGCCAGGCCGCCTTATCTCCGTGACCACACAGTGGCGGGTGGCATTCCGAGTGTGGCCGGCAGAATGCACGGTCCGTGGAGAAGGGAAAGCTCACGCAGGCTGGGAGCCTGGGCTGCTTGCACGTCCAGGAAACGCTGGGTGAGTTCGGTGAAGTGTCAGTTTATGTGGATTACGGGACTCAAGGCGTCCAGGGTGAAATAAATATCCACGCTCTGCAAAGCGTGAAGTCCTGAGTCGCAGTGAGAACAGAAGCTTTCCGTTCCAGGAGCTCCCTGGGGGCACGGGGGGCGCCTCCGATGGGCAGCGGACCAAGCACCGGTCTCCAGACGTGGCCAGGACCTCGGAGATCAGCGGGCCTGCCGGAGGAAGGG